CCCTGCGGGAGGTAACCCCAGCTTGCACAGGGGTACAAGGAGCCCCAGCACACACTGGAGAGGGGAAGCCAAAGGCAGGCAGTGCCACGGGGTCCCATCAGGGCACAGCAACCAGAGATATTCACAGAACTTCAGTGTCAGGACCTTCTGCCTCGAATGCACTGCAGGCATCGGAGTAGGAGGGAATCAGGGAGAAAAACTGAAGTGTGGGAGGCAATTACAGCAGCCCTGCCAGACAGATCATCACGGCAGATAACGCTCGGGGAGAGGAGCTGTCACCCAGACACGAATGGCTGCACAAAGGGAACAGCAGAGCTCAGTGAAGACCAAGCAGCGCGCTTCAGTTTCTGCACACACACAGAACCTCTCTGCACAAACCACTGTGTGCATTCGTTACAGTGTCAGCATCCAGGCACTGCCAGCAGTTAACTTCCAATTAATCATGGAAATTACACCAGCAGTGAGCTCCACACACCAGGTGCAATGAAGATCAAGTGTGTGTGTCTTTGTAGCTGTTCTGAAGCTATTTACAAGTTACAGGCAGGCAGAGGTCTGCATACACACAGGTACATTTGCTCAGCTAACCACAGTAAATTTGGAAAAAGAAAAAGCAAAAACTTCAACGAAAAGCACAAGTTGTTTTCTTCTGTTCCTTTTCAGTGGTGCAATACCCAAATGCCTTTCAGTCACTCCTGAGCACCAGGCTTCTGTCTGCACTGAATCCCGTCCTAGAGCTGCAAGCTCTCAGTGCTGATCAGCAAGAGCCTGCTGGTCCTTGTACCAACCCTGCTGTCTCATACACTGAGATGGTTTTCCTATCTGGCACAATGCCTTTTTGTTGCCCAGATGCTCAGAATCCCAAGCCTTCAGCCCAGCTCTCATCCTCACAACCCAGCACCCTCAGAAAACTCATTTGTGTATTACCTAACCCAACTGCCAAGACCTTCTCCATCCCCAATCCTGTCTCTTGTAAGGGACACAGAACTTCCCTAATGTGGTTTTCTTTTTTCCATTCTTCAATTAGAAAAGCTCACTAAGGACATCATGAAATGCCAGCAGCAGTCCATCCTTCTGGTACAGGCTGCCTTTGTTACCAAAGCATCAACCCTTCTTGTGATCTATCAGTGCCATCTGTCAGGCATTCAAGCCCCTCTCCCCTAGAATCCCAGAATCGTTTGATTTGGAAGGAACCTTTAAAGGCCATCCAGTCCAACTCCCTTGCTCTTGGCTTTGTGGAACTTCACAATCTCACAGTGTTCTCCTTGACCCACTGCTCAGCTGTCTGGGTCACTCTGGATGGCATCTCATCCCTCAGGCACACTGACCACACCACACAGCTTGGTGTCATCCTCACACTGCTGAGGGTGCACTCAATTCCACTGCCACTGATATGAAAGGTTCCAGTTCGACCCCACAGGGCTCTACTGTCATTGATCTCTATCCTCACACTGAGCCACTGACCACCAATCCCTGGGTGTTATCTTGTAATCCATTCCTCATCCATCAAACGGCCCACCCATCAAAACCCTATCTGTCCAACTTAGAGAGAAGAATATTATGGGGTACTGTGCCAAAGGCCTTACTGAAGTCAAGACAGATGACATCAGTGGCTCTTCCCTTGTCCAGGATGCAGTTACACCATCACAGAAAGCCACCAGGTTGGTCAGGGAGGATCTGCCCTTGGTGAAGCTATGCAGGTTCTTTTGCATGACATCCCTCTCTTCCATGTGCCTCAGCACAGCTTCCAGGAGGCTCTGTTGTATGATCCTACCCAGCAGAAAAGTGGGGCTGATAGGTTGGTAGCTCCTGATACTGTAGTGCAGTAGCAGAAGATACAGTAGCACAGACAGTGGATGTGCTGAAGGAAGCTGCAGGTCAGATCTTCCATTGCCTTGGTTTGTTTGTTTTTAAAACCTCATGGAGCGATAACCACAGCATCACTAATGCTGGCAAAGACCTCTAAGATTGAGTCCAACCGTACAATTTCCACCAATATTGCCTGCTAATCATAGAATCTTTTGAATTGGAGGGAACCTTTAAAGTTCATCTGATCCAACTCATCCCTCAATGAACCAGGACACCCACACCTCCACCAGGAGCTCAGAGCCTGGTCCAGCCTGACCCTGAATGTCTCCAAGGATGAGGCATCCTGTTTATACCCCTCCACTTACAAAACCTTGAGCAGCACTTTGTGCAACAACAGGGTAGGACAGAACCTACAGCTCCAGAATTTCCATTTTCTGGTATCTGAGGTCAGGGAATCAACTTCAAATGTAAATGTACATTCCAAGTTAGATGTGAGAAGCAAATTCTTCACTCAGGGCGGTGAGGCACTAACACTGCTGTCCAGAGCTGTGGGTCCCCCATCTCTGGAGGTGCCTGGGCCCATGGGTGGCCCTGGGCAGCATGGCTTAGTGGGGGCACCCAGCCCAGGCAGGCAGCTGGAACTCAACCTTTAAGGTCCCTTCCAACCAAAGCCGTTTTGTGGTTCTATGTTTTGTATGACCAGGAAGGTCACGACCTAAGAGATTTTATTATCACCACCATCATTTTATCCCAATATTCTGAAGGAAAACTGTGCATCTAGCTCAGGAAACAGCATGGAAGGAGCTACATCACAAGGCAGAAAAGCTGCATAAGGGAAAGAGTACAGGAAAAAGCAACAGGTATCAGAAAGCAGAAACAGTGAGGTCTGAAGCAATGAGAGTGGCCACAGGATGTACTTCTAAACAACAACATCCACACACCATCAGTGTAACTCAGCGTGGCCACAATAATCCAGACACAAGCTCTTTTGTCAGCAACCCTGAAGATTGCTAGACAGCATCCACAAAAATAATCACTAAACATCAGCAACAAATCTGGGCTCAGTCTGATCATGAAAAGCAGCACAGGCCAGGAAAAAGCAAGAGTAGTGAGTTTTAACAGTAATTTTCCTGATTCCATTGCAAATCCCCTCCAATGTGAAAAGGAGCAGAACTACAGCTCTGCTGCCAGTGTGACCTGAGTGCTCACTGCCCCATTTCTACTTGCACACGAGCACACCGTGCAGAACGAGCTGCACCCTGCCTAGGTGCCATCTTTGCAGCAGTGAGACTCCCACACTGCCTCACATTTTATTTTACTTTTTTGTCTAAGAGGAATCATCCTCCTAAGAAGGAAAGCTGGCAATACTTGGCTTCTGTGTTCTGACTTGAGTTCAAATCCTAAAAAGGAAATGATGGACCCTGGAAGAGGACAGATCAACAAATCCACGCTTTCTTACGCACATCTTTAACATATCTGCCCTCGCCGATACGCATTTCAGTTAAGCAAATAAGTAAAAATGTGACAGAAAACACATTTCAATTTAATGCAGCAGATGGAAGCAAGAGGTCCTGCTAAGAGCTGTAAGAAACAGAGTCAGAAGGTTGATGGCTTTCAAGAAGCGGGAGCTACACATCATTAAGAATTTTGGCTACATTCTGATAAAGCTGAACTGCCAGAAGGAAAAAAAAAGAACTGAGACCACATGTATTAAAGCCTGTCCAGCAGTAGGAGGTAGGTTCCTTCATTCCTTAAAATGTAGCAGAAACTTGACAACACCATCAGCCTATGGCCCACGGTGCTAAGAATCATTCCCAGCTTTCTCATTGCTGCAGTGCAACAAGATCAAGGGAGGAGTTGCACACTGAATGCATTCTCTCAGCCCTTTCTTGAAAAGCACTTCACACATGAGATACTCTTCCAGCTCACGGGTCACACTGGAAAGAGCAGGAATTCACACCATCCATCATAAACATACAATGTGTGCAACCGTGCTCCTGTGGCTCAAAGGGCAGCGCAAGGCTCCTCATCTCTGCTTTCCTAATGATCCCTCCAGGCTCTGTGAAAAGCAGACCCTTCCCAACCCTAAGTGACATTCACATTACAAGATACAACCTGAAATGTTTCTGCAATTGGTCACTTCATTTGGGCTGAATGTAACTGTCCATCTCACCATCCCTCCTCCCTGCCCACGTGAGGTCACCTTGTGCCCAATCCAGGGGGTCACAAAGATGTGTTTGTTCGAAGATGGAGCTGAGCCAAAATTCAGAACATCTGGATTTTATTTCATTTCATTTGCTTAACAAGTTTGGTACAGGATTAACTGTAATTATGCTTTCATGGTCAGGTCTCCAAAACAGTCTTGTGCCAGCATCTGTGGTAGCTGTTTATTAGGAAGCACTTGCTGCTCAGCAGGACTGGCACATAGCATGTGAAAAGGAATAAGCATAGGGGAAAAAAGAGCATCAGAGTGATTCTGGAAATGACTGCAGATATGAAATGAAAAATGAAGCCAGGCTGAACAACACGACATGCCTGAATACTTTTCTAGAAAGGAATTCCTCAGTAAATACATACATGCACACACAGATCAGCACCCATGGCAGCACACAGGGCACCTTTACCCCCTAATGCCTGAAAAAAAGAAATCCAATGGAAGACTTCAAAGACAGCGAGGTGTTAAAGACCACTGGGTGTGTTCTGCTCTTCTCATTGTTCCCAGGTGGGGAGATCTAATGAGCCAAGATTAAGCCAAACCTTTATTATTCCTGCAAGTGCAGGGCTACTCCACTTCATACAGCTGAAGGTTCCCACAGGATTCGGTATTTCACAGGAGAGTAAAGTCACAAGATGTTAAGCTCTAATTGATCACTGCTTTCCAAATGTAAATTCAGAATAAATTTTGTGTCGTGAGAAGTTTGCTTAGTCTTGAAGTTTGCCTGCCTGTCTTCAGGTTTGCTTAGAATTATGTTCCCTCTGCTAAGGGCTCTCCAAAAAAATACTTGAAACAGAAAGTCTTTAGAAAAAAGGGTTTGCATTTTGCCACGGCAGCTTAATATAAAATTGCACCCAACTGAAGCAATTATGACTTTCTCTGCTCCTTTTCCCTGTTTGATCCAAAGAGAATAAATACATCAGCTCGGACTAGCAACACAAGAGAACACTCAGACCCTTGGAAAACACCCACAAAGTAATGACTTCAAAAGATGTTTATTTGAAAAACAAACAAACAAACAGACATTACAAAAGGACCAGGTAGGAAACAATTATACAATGCATGTGCAGTTCATAGAGTACACCGTCTAGAGAGAAGACTCGATACACATGTAGCACACCCACCTGGAGCTCCTCAGATCACTTGCCATGGCAGGCAGATGCTGGGGTTCTTCTGGAAGATGAGCTAATCCATGGTACAGTTTCTATTTACTGCAAAAGCACAGATTGCACACAATTTTATTGACACTTTTAAAAAAATAATCTCATATTCAAGAGCTTCTCCAGCATTCTTCCAACCCACAGCATTAAGATACTGAATCTCCTAGATTTTTATTTTTAAATTCAAACTGATTCAGATTTCATGTTTCCATGCTATGAATTCCTCCTCCCTCCCTCCTCCCATGAACAACAAATCCCTGCTGTCTACGCATAGTTTTACCTAGCAAAGCATACCTGGATTCTTTGATAAGTTAGCTAAGGAAGGAGTCCAGGGAGGTAATGATCTGTCAGAACAAGATTCACAGGCAAGTCCTATCAACCCAAATCAGGGAGCTGAGATACAGCTAACACTTCCACTGGGTTTCAGAGCAAACACAATCTGAACTTGAATAAAAATAGGAATGTTTGTCTTTAAAGCACAGCTAATAGCCAGCAGCAGTCCCTCACCATAAAGCAAAGAGGACCCAGCTGAACTTGTAAGACAGAAATAAACAGTGGCAACGGAATAGTTTCAAGCAACAAGCACTGCAGAGACAGTAATCCTCAATCAGGAAAATGAACAGAGAATGACACTGAACTGCACCTGAGTCTGTGTTTCAAAAGACAACAAACGTAATTACAGCATATTGCAATCTGGATCCATACAGAAACACCTTAAAATTCAACAACGCATCTGAGAGCATCGTGGAAAGGCTAAAAATCTTAGATATCTCTTTTCCTCCCCAGTAATAAAAATATGCCCCAATTCTTCATGGTTTCAGCAGCTGTCTGATCAGTCCAACATCTGTCCAATAAAACTCTAAGGACTGGGTCAGAGAAAAAAAAATAAATCAGAACAAATTAAGGGTTTGGTTGTCCACCACCTGCCCACACGTATGAACTTACCTTCTCCACTGCAGAACAGCTCTTGGACACGCTATGGAAACAAATGTTTCTATCAACACTGAAATATTCGTCCAGAACAGAGGAATCCACAGAAGTCACTCTGCACCTATGGCTTCCATATTTATCTCAGACTACGAGGACTAGATATGAATACCTGCCATCAGTTCCCGTTGCACATCGCTGTTAGTGCTCATCACAGTCTCTGTCCTTCAGCATCTAAAAACAGACCAGAGTTGAGATCATTACACTTTAAAGAAGAGAAAGCCGCTGTAGCAGAGTTCAGGCCCTCCAGTCCTACACCAAGGAAAAGAAGTGGGAGGTTAGCAGATATGAATGCAGAAATGTGATCTCTCCTTAAAAATAATGCGTACAAAACAGACACAAAAATCCCAGCAAAGACTGGGCCGTCCTCCTCATTAATGTGATGAGTTTTATGGAGATTTCCAGTAATAATACTATATCAATAGCTAATCAACTGTCAAACACACAGGCAGTTTAAGGAAAATGCCACTTGAGCTAAGTGTAAGATTATTCTGCCGTCTCTCTGGGAGAATAAAGCCAAAGGTAATTGAAATGAAGCACAACAGCCATCAAATATCCCAAATTACTGAATTATATTTGGAAAGATCTTGAGCAGTTCTTCAAAATAAACAGTGTCCATTTCCACAAATACCTACAAATTAAAATACAGGATTAAATATGGAAACAAGGGAGGCAGAGGTAACCCAAGTTACTGCGCCAGCTTACTAAAAGAAATGGGATATTCCAGCCAAAGGTATTTAGGCTATTTTGCACTTCAGTACTTGAATATCATGTCTTCAACTTGGTCCAGTGTAAGTAAATAAATATCCCCATTCTTCAGTGATAAAGCTTTCTTTTTAAGTTTCTCCTGTTGTACATTGGGATTTTTTTTTTTAAGCACAGAAAAAAGACAAACCTACTAGGAACAGGCAAAGATGGGAATGAATGCAGTGTATTCAGAGGAATGACAAACAACCAGGCTACAAAGTTCCTCATTGCTTACCCAAGCCTTGGCAATGCTACGTGCCAGAAAGGCACTGCCCTGAGAGCATCTTCTAAACCTAATGGTAAAAGCAGCAGAGATGAAACACAAACTAATTTGGGAAAAACAAAGAATGTTGAGATTCAGAAGCTACCTCAACAGCTTGAACCCCAAGGAGATGAAGGCTCACACAGCCATACACAACCAGGCTGATTGTCCTGCCATGGCTCAGCAGAGGTTAAGACATTTAGAAGAAAATCTCTCATCTCAAGTGGATCTGACCAACAATAACAGCAAGAAACAATGGTTGATGGACTTCTACCATCAGCCTGCAGGCATGAAGCTGTAAAGCTTGCTCAGAACAAGCTGAAATCCAAGACTAAGTGAATTCTTAGGTTACAAGAAGTGTAATTTGCATTTAAAAAAAAAAAAACCCAAACTGATACCATGTCAATGAACCAGTCAAGTGTGCAATACCCTTGCGCAGGAAAAGCTTCAATGTCATCTTGTCTGCTGTCTCCTGCACTGTTCTGGAAGATGAAGCTGTCACCAGAAGCATTAAAGGTTGCACTTCAGAAGCATGAAGACCTGAGCAGAGCAGAGGAATCAGGAACCACTGCACACCCCAGATGTGCAGCAACACCTCACAGCCCAGGCAGCCCCACCTCAAGGCCAAGTGAGCACTGCCAGATGGTGCCTCATGACCAGGAGCCCACTGCAAGGAATGAAAGGACTGTCACACTTTCACTTCTTGTGAACACGACTAGGAGGCTGGAAGGTCCATTTCAAAAAGAAAGGGTCAAAGCCCAAATGGACAAGGACCACAGAATATCAAGAGGTGAAAAGTTGCAAGCAAAGCTATGTAGTTTTGACTGCTGATTTCTTGGTTTGTTAGGATTTTGCTAAGAGCAGGAAATACCCTTTCACTGAGCTCATGAGAGAAACTGGAAAGGCCCCACGTGTGCCAGGCTTTGCACATCTGTGAATGAAGCAGGAGCTGCAGGCAGAGGAACTGCTGCAAATCTGAATGCCAGGCCCACCTTTCCCACCTGATGCAGCACGTGCTGAGTGGCAGCAGGAGCCACCTGAACTCAGAAGAGAGCCAGTATACAGAAGAGACAGAATGAAAGGATTTGACAACTGAAAATAAGCAGTTAACAACTATAGGAGAACCAGCAGACACTGATGCTTCTAGAGCACGTCACTGCTGTCAGAATCCTCGTGACTGTAGAATTCCAGAAAGCACATTCATTACTCCACGTGAGCATTCCTTCAGGGGTATCAAATCTCCAAGGTGCTCCTTAACACGTGCAGTCAGCCCTCTGAGCAGGGATAAAGTCAGCCACGCATCAGCCCTGTGCTGAGCCAGCTCAGAGCCAGGCCTCAGAAATCCAGCACAAGATGTGTACGAACCCATTGCTTTCAGGGTCATATCTACTCTGGAAACAGCTTAAGACCTTTCTGTGCACAACCTGACAATACAGATTTATCTGACCTGGAGCATGACAAACCAGCTTGGTTTAAGAGGACCTCAGCAGCTCCACTCAGGGATCCCTGCTCCCTTCCCTTCATTACATCCCACCACAGGAACATCATTATGGAAGGAACCCCATCTCCTCCTTCCTAGGTATTAGGGTCCGATAAATTAACTAACTTTCTTCTCCAGTCTAGATGTTCGTCTTCCCCTCCCTAATACTTCCATCTGGAATACCATCAAAACACCAAAATGAGAAACATGCAACAAAAACAAAACCTCCAGCACTGCAAAGGGCACTAAAGGCCAAGAGACAGAAGTTGCACTGTATCTTATCAACCTTCAGCATCCAAATGCCTGCCCTTCTCTATCCAGAAGATGCAGTATTATTCAGTTCTTCCCTACATCAGGGATACACAAAACACCAGGGCTATTCTTTTGTTTTCTTCTTCTCTCAACACAGATCATGCAAAAAACAAAAATGAAAACAGAACAACCAAAAAGCAGAAACTGGAATCTGTTAAGGCAAAGGATGACTGATTTTTATTTTGCTCTCCCTTTATTTTTTTTTTTAAATCATATGGTATTATGAAGTCTCCCAATTACTCCACGTGAGCCCTGCAAAGCAGCAGGCACCTCTCAGAAGGCACTGACATGACTCAGATGGCACCAAATGAAGGTGTTTTCTCACAAACAGCTGAGCAGTTATATAACTATCCCTCTATTTCAGCTCTACCAAAAGCTAATCAAGGTCCAACTTCCTAAACACTTCAATTGAAACTCAAGAAAAAGTGAAATATTCGCTTCCCTATTCAATTTTGTTGTTGTGAATGTTGGCATGGAGAATTAGCTCTAAAGCAAAAGAGAACTGCAAGTCAAGCCTTCTGACTGCAGTGCACGATGAATCATATGAGAGGTTGATAGGGACAGAGCCTAAGCCCAGGAAACCTACAAAACACTCAGAAAAGTATATTTAAAAATACAACAATAATATCGAAAAGAAAAGAGAGATTCCTATGATCTGTGCCCTCATTTCTCCACTTGGCAGTTTCTTTTTGGTGTTCTTTTTCCCCCATGTAGTCTGCAGACATTGAAAAGCCATCCTCAGCCATCCCAAGGCCAACATGATCTGCTACAGCACAGTGCTGGGGTGCTAAAACTTCTTACATCAGGATACAACTGAAATTTGTGTGCAGGATTGTAAAAAGCACTCAAAAATACTTCCATCAAGAAGTCTGTCTGAGCTATTCTAATGCTGAAAGCACCAGGCCAAAATTAGCCTTGATGTAACTGAAGAAATACAGTTTGATTATACTGGGTATTATTTTAATAAGGGTAAGAATGTGGTACAGAGCACAAGAAGCTGTGATGTGACCAATGTCTGTGCTCTCAGAAGCCCTTTCCCTCCTGTTAGAACCCCAGTTGATGAGATGCATCATTCAGAAGCTGAAGAGCAGCTCCACGCTGCAGAGCTGCCTGAGCTCTTCAGTATCACAGCATTCCTGCAGGCTGGGATTCCCCCAGGGGAAATGCATTCTTTCTCATTTCTTCATGCACTTCAGAACATTGGCGGGATGCTTTCACTTGATGCTGTGGCGCAGTACAGCACCCTGCCACATCCACACCAGGAATGAAATGTATCCAAAAAAGCCTGCAATCAAACTTCTCAAGTATAAAGACAATTAACTTACCATCTTGCTCAGTTCATATGGCACCATGCACATTCTTCTGGGGTAATGTGAGACAAGATGAGAATAGAAGCTGAAACATTATTAGTAGATGAAAGGGACCAGGCACTTACATACTGAAGAAATAAAAAAAAGGGGTTTTTTGGAGCTTGATTTCCAATTGCTGTGCAGACAAGTATCATTTCTAAGATGTTTTATTTATGCAATTTACAAAAAAAATTATTATATATATATATTTTTTTTTTTTTTTATTTTTTTTTTTTACACAGCTCTGGACTTTTGCTTCTTTCAATTCTACCATTACTCCTCTTCTTCCAGACAGCACACACCTGCACTGAATTGCTGTAATGACTGAACTGAACCAGGAATATAATTAGCAGAGGGTCTAAGTGTTTAATCACATATTGCATCTCGTTTTTCATCAGGTAGTCTTATCTCCATGAGTAATGAGTCCTTTCCAATCTTTTGGTATTAAAGCCTGACAGTGTTATTCTTCAAGATGAAGATTATGTAGTCTCAATTTGGTACAGAAAAGATTTATTGCTATCACAAGCAAAGGCTCTGTGTATCAGAAAGTCTGGCTCTGCTAGAAACCAGTGTGGTCTTTCCTGTCCTATGCTTCCCCCTGGAGGTCCTATCACATATTTCTACACTGCAGTCTCTATCGCACAGAAGATTCATAAATTCAGACATTGTCACCTACCAACAGATTCAGCAGCTGCCAACAGAGAATCCATGTGAATTATTCTACACCCCTATTCAAGAACAAAGCTCAGCCTCAACACACAGCTGTATCCAGGGCTAGGTCCAGCTCAGCATCTGAATGATACACATTTTAATATATAAAAAAGTTCAAGTATGTTTTTGCCCTGTACTACATATTTTCAGTCATAACTGGGAGCTTCCTAAGAAATACAAGATGTTTGAATAGAGATGATTAATATAAGCATGTAACTTAGCATTCCAAGCATGTAGGATCTCAAGCTGAAAAGCACACAGCAACAGAAGGCAGCACAGAACTCAGTTACTGTTACTTACTTGCTACCACTCTGCTGGCCACCAAGCCTAGGAGCACCTTCTCGCTTTCGAAAGCTGAGATTTCACACTAAGCAAGACTTCCATTATGCTTGTACAGCAGTTTATTCTGTACCCCCACTGAGAAAGGGTGCACTCCTAGAATGACTAATTGAACAACAGAGGAGGAGATTACAATGGAAAGATGCAGTTCACATTAAGCATTCCTTAAAAATAATTTTTAAAAAGTCCTAAAACAACACATAGCTTTATCAGGCTATCTTCTCCCTACCCAAATGCTGCTGCTACTCCGTCCTTAAGTATCATCTTTAGAAAACCTAAGATGCAAGAACAAAGACGAGAGAGACATCATCTGACTACAACAGATTTCTTTTAATGCAACTTCAGTACAATTTTGATGCTGGTGCTTGCAATCCTTCGCCCATGCAAAAATTCCCTTGGACATTTTTATTCTAGTTCAGGATTTTCAAAGACTTCCTATGTGTTTTTGATTTAGAGACCTGAGGTGACTTCACCTGCTCTTGTTTCAGAAGTGCACAGTAATGGGCACTCCAATAAGACCTGCTTTCATGATGAGCACACTGCGAGGGAAGAATGCTGACTGGTTCCAGAAATAAACTGTCCCAATGTGTTCTTCAGGTACAGGGAGATTTCAGTCAAACAGCAAGAACCAAAAATGTGCTGCCTATCTTATCAGCTGATTTCAGAGCAGGAAGTTAGAGCACAGCCCTACTAAAAGCTGTGTAATGAACAAGATGCCGCATCTTGACATCTTTCCACACTCATCTGTACCACGTTTTACTCCCTATCTTTAGCTGGCAGAACAGTAGCACCACGTACATCCCACACCACTCCTCATTCTTTCTAGCCTTGTATAGGGCACATTATCACCAGGTTTTTTTTTTAATTGTCATTTGAATAAAGGAAGGCAGTATTCTGGCTCTTCCTCATGTATCATCCTCAATTGTACACAAACCCAAACCAGAGAATTAAAACATCAGTGTTGTCTTAGATCAGTTCCCCAGTGCATACTAAGCACTAGCAAGAGAAGTGCCTGCAATAGAAAGAACTGCTTTCTTGCACTGAGAAACATCTGTACAACTGAAAACCACCAGATACTCATCTACCCGAGATGAAAGAAATCACTGTTTGGAAGAACTGGCTTCTTGGTCTGTCAGATGAAGAGTTCTGGCAGTGGGAACAGAGGAAAAAGTGAAAACCAAAAGACCAGGTGCTAAACTGGTAAAAACTACTCGTACTACAAGTATTTGGGTGGTGAAGTTTCTCCAGATAAACGTCTCCAACAACTCACATCTGAAGGAACGTCCCCAATTTGGCCAAAGAAAGGAAGGTATGGTATTATCCATAATTCTACTAAACAAAAAGAACTGGGTTCTTTCAGTGTTTTCAGTAAGGCTGTTCTTGGATACCTTTTTAGGCACATTAACTACAATTTCTTTTCCTAGTATGCTGGATTCAGCAAATGTGCAGCTCTCTGTATCACTTAAACAGTAGTTAATCAAAAGACACATATGGCATTAAGAAGGGAAGAACATGCATCAACCACAAAGTATACACCTATAATGTGCAACTGAAAAACCAAAATGCAGAGGCACAGAAGTAGAAAAGCAAGTTAGTGTAGAATAATGTCTGAGTATACAGGAATAGTAAATGATGCTCACTACAATTCCTTTGAAAGGAACAGAGTGGTTGAAGACAATGTAGTGTTTCAGCAGTACTCACAGTTCTATTCACTCCTAGAAACTACTTTACCATCTTCCTGTTGCAGCTGTATTTTAAGACAGATTCTTAAAGAATCTACAAGCTGCACAGTTCAACACGCACTGCTTTCATATCGCTGCCTCCCAGTGATGCAAAAATGCAAAGCAAACAGACTTGGGATATATTAAATTAGCTGTATTCATACCCTGGTTGGTGAGGAAAGGGTTTATTAACAAACTGAAGTTTCCTTCTTGAGAGTTCAGGCAGACTTAAGTACAACAGGAGGAAGAAAGTGTCACAGTGAGAGTGGCGGACTCCCAAAGTCACTGTCATGATCCTCCTCTGGAAGCTCTGCAGGGGTTCCCCAAGCTGTGGCTCTCTGGAAACCACTGTATATACCGTGCAGTAGAAACCTTTCATAGCTAACCCTGATACAAACAACACTGAGAGTCTAAATCAGTAGAAAACCTTTATGCTCAAAATGCCATATTTGCAGCTGTAACTGAAAATACATGGCTGTCAGTTCACAACAGACAAGCCTACCAAAAAACAAAAAACCAAACAAGCAATCTTTCTCAGTCTGTCAAAACCCTCTACCTTGCAGTAAGTGTCATCATACAATCCCACAGCACCCAAATTTATGGCTTTTATATTATTAGAGAACAGAAAACTATGAATTGATGTAAAAGATTTAAGTGAAAACTAGCAAATTAAAGGAACAAACATTCTAAATACCGCCTCTGAGAACGATGGTGATTCCAGCTTGAGTTGGACTCTAAGCCTTCAACTAGCCTTTAAACTTCTATAACACAACAGCACTCCTCAATGTATTCCTTCAACAAGTTCAAATTTAATTAAAAATCCATTATTACTGTTTTCTGTTTGATGGAGTAGGGGGAGGAATGGGACAGAACAGAAAGAGAAAAGCATTTACTGCTACTAGGGTTCAAGCATTGCTTGCTGAATCAACCCACTCTTGCTGTTTTTGCACTAAGATCTTGTCATCTACTATAAAACCACTTTACTCAAGTGCTAGCATGTTTGCATCTCATTTCAGCAACACCTATCTACATAGCCAGTCATTTGATGCTCTTTTGCTGCTTCTCTCTTAAGCTTGAGCCCAGCTGCTAAAAGAATACTTGACGCCATTTCCAATGAAAGTGGGGAAGGAGAAGCTCTATTCTTCAGAATTGCCTTTCACACCTGAAAAGCCTTGTGAAGTCTGGAAGGTGTAGCTTTCTCTGCACACATCCTTGCTCAGTGATTTTATTTAATCCATAAGTTTTTCGTATTAAGAAAGATAAAGAGAGGCCAAAGCCTCTCCTGCACAAATGGTTCTCTAACATGGAACACCTGGATCAAACAACTGAGTTCAGTTCTGGAAGGGAATGTGGAATTGCCTAAGAGGCCTGACAGCTGGCTGACAGACACAGTTATCCTCACCTGATGTGCAACGTTCAGAGCCCCTCTGAGACATCCAAAGGAACAGACTGTTCTGACTGTAAGTAAGAGTATTTTATTCCTTAGCACGCAAAAAATCCACCTCAAGGAGTGCATCCTGACCTTCAGAGCAGGTTTTGAGTACATTCCCACTCAGAGCAAGACCACAGAAAAGCTCTGGGACAAAGACCTGATGAGGAGGAACAGCCCACTGCAAGCACTTCTCTTCTGGTAAGGTTTATACTGAAGGTATATTCTTCAAAACTAAGAGCTCTCACAGCTTCTGGTAAAGAGCTGCAGGCTCAGACTTCCTCAGCACCGTGGCTTCTCTACTTTTCCAGAAGGCCTGGACTTCTTCCCTTTCCAGTATGTTCAAAACAAAAAGATAAGCAGAAAATATTTTTTCTGCTCCTTTGCCTCCAAACAAGCTAAATACCTGAAATGCAGTCACAGGCAACAATCCAAGCAGAAACAATGAGACAGGAATCACAGGAGGATTAGGATGCATTTCATGCCTCGTGACTGGCAAGAGTGAAAATAAAGTGATGAATACGAACAGGCTTCATCTGCTGTCTCACAGGAAGAATCATTTATCCTGGTTTTACTGGGTAAGCGAAGGTGAAAATGACTGATAACTAAGTGGATGGCAATGAAAATATATCCTGTCAAACATAACTTACAGGGCTCCTTTCGGCTGCTTATAAACTCTGAGCAAAGCAGAATTCTCCACACTGAACAAATCTCATCCAAGTTCCCTGGGAAAACTGTATTAACTGAAACGATTCGGCTGTTGAAATCAACAGCATTTCCACAAAATAGCATGTTAAATGCTTGCAGATAAGGTGCTACAAGCACTGAACAAAACAAAAACGAGGATGAAGCACATCCACATCAACAGAAAGAACAACATAAGCACAACTGGTTTTGAGTGAAAACGTGTAAGGATGAGTTTAAAATCTGTGGTCTTATAAAACAGATATGGAATATAAAATGGAATTCCTATACACGTTGGTGCTTGCTCTCCAGCTGCTGCCAGCATTGAGCTGCACTTTTTTGCTCACTCATAACACACTGTATTTGAAAACTAAATTCAAGCAGGGTCTGAGATCACACCTAACAAGAAGCAAACCAACAACGCATCCAGGAACTGGTTAAAGAAAGCAAACACAGGAAACATCAAAATATCAAAGTTACTATTTTACAACTTCTATCCAGTTCTTCTGAGTGCACGCATTACGATTCTGCCTGAATTACACACCTGAACTATTTTTAAACACAGGTCTTTCAGTTTGTGCAGGTTTCACTGCTTCAACTCCTGCAGAAACGTAAGCACAGCAAGGAACTGAAAGAGAGAGCATTCATTGTTAAGACAGCTGAATGTTCTCCCACATTACATTTTCTTTCCTGTCACAAAATTTACGTTACTTCCACATCCTGTTAAAATGCAGGTTAGGTATGCATTCACTGCATGCTCACATTAAAATGTCTCAAGGTATGTTGGAATACTGTCATGTAAGCAGGTACTGGTGTATTTCACACTCGTTACTCGGAATTAAAAAGGGTAAAGAATAACTTCTCTGCAGTCGAAGTTGGGTTCAGTTGAGTGTTATCAAAGAAATGTATTCCAAGTAAGGTACACCTGGGAATAACTAACTATATTTTCATACCAGAAATTATTATAGATACCTCCACTCAACCAGTTACATTTCCTCTCTATCGATGTCACTCCTAGAACTGGCATGTCCTTCAACTTCTTGCTAACGAGTGACTAAACTGGAAATCCTTCTATAGCCCACTAAGCTCTTTCAACTTCTCTGCTCCTTTGTAAGCACTGCATCGTGGACTCAGGAAAAGAGTTTCGACCTTGCTGGTGGAGGAAAGAAATGTGCAAGGTAAGCAGGTGCCATGAGGGACTCCTTCTATCAAGATGCCCAAGTATTTTAAGTTTCATCTGCAACGCTTCCAAAATCCATCTTCAGCTATTGCTATTTGCCTATAATACACATAACATACCTTACCCAGAAAGAAACAAACAACTCTGACAATTTAAGTCCTGTTCTCCTGATGTTTTCTACTGGGACCAGCTATAAGTGCCCCTCAGTTTATCAGAAATTCGTTCACAACTACTACATGACAGGATTGTCATATTCAGAAGGTAAATGATCCAAACTCATGATATGCCAGTTTTGGCTCTCATTTTCAAGATAAAATTTTATTGCAAAGATCTACTTGGACACATTTTTACAGCATTCTTAAGACTTTGAAGAAGTGTGCTCTAAGGTCTTTGCTTTCTCATGATAGGAAAAATATATATATACACACACATCTGGCTTCGATTACAGAAGAAAAAAAAAGTGTTCAAAACCATTTATGCTTCCAGCATCTCTAAAATAGCATCACCCATTTTTCTCTTGAAGCACCAGTCACTTCATTTTCAGTGCTTGGAATCTCTCCATGGCAGAAGTAGATTTTCAACAATATTCCAGTGATCAGGGCTGTGGAGATCACCTCCTCCCCCCAGGCCAACCCCTCCCACCCAAAGCCCTTTAATCTCACCAAAGTAAATTAGAAAGAAAGTTGTCTTACCGATAACTCCAAGGTTAATGTCCCTTGCGACCCCCACCTAGCAAGTCGACATCATGACATGTCAGGTCAGCCTCAATCACGCTTCCCTGATAGTCAGGTAAAAGGAAGGAGTTAAAATACAAAATTGACACTTGCACATTTCTGGACATCAGAAAATGTGATGCAATATATTCTGAACTGTCTTTCAGAGCTTCTGGTAACCTCCAGATTGTTTTAAAACTTCTTCAGTGGGATTATTCTATTCTCAAATTTCAAGAGCTCCTGATCAATAACCAAACGCTGCAGATACACCCTGACTGTTTTGTTTGGGTGAGAAATGAAGATCCCCTTCAATGATTTTTCATTCCTTCTCTACAGTTTTCATTAACTAAATTACACGAAACGTAGCTACTTGGTTTCAAAATGCTTCAAGCCAAAATACTGCATCCAAACAGCTTCCTTTCAATACTAAGTTAACAGAAGCTCAGAGTTCTTGGGGAGTTTTGTTTGCTTTGTTTGTTTTTAATATTTAATTTTTATTTAATAATAAATTTAAGAAACACAACTCAGCACACTCTTTCTATAAGGCTCTGAGCTATCAAGTAGCCACAATCCAATCTGGCATACTTTCAATATGCAAATAATCCTTCATCCCTTAAGCACTCACATATGACCCAAAGACTGCCTGGGAAAAATACACAGGACTGGGTCCTTGCTGTTCAACACAAGGGCCAGGCTCATAATTTGTGGACAACTATTAAGCCTTGCTGAGAGTTAATCCATTACATCAGGGTCTGCAGGCCCAGGTGCCAAACACTTCTTTTCTAAGAGGCTGAAGACATTTTGCTCAATACCTCCAATTAATTTTCCTGCTAGCCTTATAATAAGAGTGTCTTCTGTATTTTTACTGTGTAGTTCAAAATACAGAAATGGGCTTCAAGTCCAAATGCAGAGAGGTCAAAAAATGGTCAGGGTTTTACAGTCACCAATATTTAATGGTGAACTTCTACTGAGACTTGAGAGTCTATTTAGAAAAAGCTTTAAGCAATGCAGTTGTCATTCTTTCTGATAATTATACTATAGATGATGAGTCCTGAAAGTAAACAGTTGCTACAAAAAAATAAACAAACCTTTTAATACTTTGGAAAATGCAGATTGTACTTAACGAATTAGTAAAATTAAGAGCTGAATTTAGTAAATTGATGATGTTAATAATGCGCAAGTAAGCCTACAACAACATAATAGCTGTAAAATGTTTTGCTCAAAAGTTTTGGAATTGCTATAAATCTAGCAACCTACTTTTATTACTTATAAATCAAACATCAATACAGACATTAAGCAACTGCTATAAATGAGTGATCAAATGATTACTACAATCCCATTTCATGGCTCCTCCTCCTCCAATGCCAGCAGGACACTGATAGAAGTTTAATATTGGCTTACAAATTGAAACCCACTTTCAACATACTTTATAAGAGGAATTTTGCTAAGTTATACTGAAGAAAAGATCAAAACAGATGCATGAGAGTAAATTTATTTTTTCCTTTGACTATATATCAGAATTGTGCTGAGATGATTCTTCCCTCGAGTGTCTCTCATCACGTACAGTAGATTTTCCCACTGTGCTACAGTATTTTGCCCCTTTTTTTGTCCCGATAATTTCATTAGATAAGCTGAGTTCATGGTACATCACTACTGGACTAAGCTGGAGTACACGTGATCTTTATGGACTCAGTGGGGTGCTGTTGCAAATTTAAAAGGTGAACTTAAGTATCCATCAATCACATAAATTGCAGAACTTGGTAATGCTATAAATATAAACTCTTACAGATTTTCATTTTCAGATATAAAAACGTAGAGAATTGTCATATTCAATAGCAATATTTGGATAATTAGCGATTTTGGCAGAAACAAATACAAGATGCAGCTTTACAGTTCTTGAGGAACACAATTTTTGTTACTTAGGTGCCTTGTAAACATTAGAACTGAAGTGTTTCACTTCCCCACGCCTCCCTCCCCCCATAAGCATGCACTGGGGCTTCATCTCTCCTGGGCTATCACTGGAAATCCACTCTGCAAGTCACTACCTCTCTTCCAGGATGGACAGTGCTTAAAATTTGAATCCAATTAAAGTGCCCTAAGCCAGATCCCCTTCCCAATGACTAATGCATATCTATTCAGACTACAGGGTTCTGATCAATACTGCGAAGTCTATGTAATTACTATAAAGTCATACTAATAGAACAGCAATTCCTTGTATCAAAACAAAATTACAAGCCATATCCTTACCACAAGCAAAAGCCTGAAACGCATACCCAGGCAATACCCCTCTGACTTCACTGCTCAAGTAAGGAACAGAGAGGACAGGATTTGGCCCCATTAACTTTATGAAATAAAAAACAAGAACAAAAAGAAAAAAAGGCTTTAACATACTAAAATACTAACTTTGGAAAGCATTTTTTAAATTAACAACCAGTTACATTAATTTGAAAGGGAGAGCCTGAGAAAGGGGCAAACCCGTTTTTGCGAACCATCCTCGCTTCAATTAAACTCAAACCATGCAATTATGTACCAGTCCCACAACAAGTAAAGGGTGGGAAGGCTCATCTTTTTGTTAACATTTCTGACAAAACACAATTCAAAGACACCAGACAGGAATAGAAGACAAAGGGAGGAGTATGACCACTGAAGCTTAACTTGCCCAATAGTCTGTTTATAATGCTGTAATCGAGTATGAGCAACGTATTTGATTTGGATATTTAGAGGTCCAGCAATAGTTTTCTTTAGAGAAAGATTAAATCCTTTTGTTTCTCTTTCTTGAGAAGCAAATGTTCTTCATTGGGGTACAGAATGGCTCGGATGCAACAGAAGAATGTCATGACTCGCCAGTTAAAATTGACATCTGGGAATGTCCAAGACAAAGGTCAATAAAAGCAACACATAATACCCCAAAATAACATAGCTAGGAATCTCCCCAAAAGATAAGATGTAATTTTTAAACAGCCTTTATTACAAGGCATGAGAATTCTAAGGCAAATTGTTCATCATGGCAGAACATCAAATTAAAACATCAAGGTAGAATTACGGAGAACATGGAGAGTATGTTTGTGTTATCTGTAGCAAAAAGTTTGTTGTGCCACAGCACCTAGCTTATCAATTCTCATCCCTACTCAAATATTATCTTTAATTAAATTGAGATGCTCGAGATCAAAACCACTTCTGTGTATTTGTATACAATACAATATGGTTGGATCCTAACAGAATAGTCTCTAGAGGGACTTCACAGTACATAACAAAAAGGAACAAAATTAACACCATTGTAGGCTCTGCTTCCTTCTCCACATTAGGGAATTATGTTTGAATCAGATTTCCATGAATGTTTGGGTACATTTCAACACTTAAAACAAAAAAAAAGTTCCCAAATTAGATGCTGGTAAGTTACTGAGCAGCAATTAAACAAAGAGTGCCCTTCAGGCTATTTGTAATTTCTCCTAGTTTTCAGTCTGATGTCCACAGTGCTACATGTTGGAAAGCACAAGAAATTTTGCATGAATTTGATCACTCACATAGGCAGTTATACTTTGAAAACAATGTTTTTCGCAAGAATTACCAATGAAATAATGTTTTAGGACACAATTGAATTTGAAATAGGTAATGTTTTGAATAGATT